CCAGTGTGTGCATGCACAGAGTTGCCAGATGAAGGGAAGAGCTAAAGAACAGGGGTCGACTTGGGAGTAAAGGCACAGGTGGATGGTGAATGACCCCCCCCCCCGGAGGGAATAAAAGAGGAGCGAAAGGGGAGTGGAGTTTGCAGGAGGCAATTCGTTCATTCCTGCATTCTTGCCAAGTATTGAGGGCATCCGAAAGATATCGGCCTGGCCTCTCTCCAAGCCTGATCAAGGTCAGTAATTGCGAACTACCTTGAAAGACTGTGAGAGAGGAAAGACTTGGCTGGAGAGGGATTCACTGTACATTAAATCAAAGGGTTTTATCGGGACGAGGACTCGGCTTCGTGCTGCCGGGGAAGCCTCGGTCAGAACACAACCACAAGGAGTTCTAAATAAGATTTTGCCAAAAGCAGCAAGTGATGGGAGATGTGGCAGTTTCGGGGAGGGGGGGAATGTAAGGAGTTGTGCGAATGCATCAATTTGGCCCCTCTTGAGAGAAAAAGGCGATTTGGGGCACTGGTGAGAAAGAAATTCTTTGGAGGCTTCAGAGTTGGTTTTAGATCTAAACCAGGGATGTCCAACCTTTAAGACTTGTGGACTTCGTTTCCCAGAATTCCCCAACCGGCCTTCACGACTTCAGTCCACAAGTCTTAAAAGGAGCCAAAGTCGGACATCCCTGGTTTAAACCCTACATTGTTCAGCTCACCGTTATTTAAATTTTGTGAGTCGAAGATGGGTGGACTTCAACTCCCAGGATTCCCCCAGCCAGCATTAAGACAGGAAGAGAGAAAAGAAAAGACTCTTGGTATATTAAAAGGCTGAAACACTAAAAACCCACCTACTACGCACAGTTGCAATGGTGTCATTTATTACAAAACATTTCATTTCAAAGTGTCTTTTGTTTAACAGAAACATCCCCCTTGTCCGGGGTTTATCCCCATCCCCATAAAAGAGATATTTTATCCCCCAGCCCCACCGAAACAAAACAAAATAAATAAGAAGTGCTCCCTCCCTCTCTGCAAAGGTTATATTTTTTTTCTTTTTATTTTTTTCAGAGGAAGAGGAGAAAGGGTGGGGGCACCATAAACCTCAAGCGGTTGGATTCGAATGCAGGACCGGGAAAGGGCCAATGGCCAGGAGGGTTTTATACAAGGGAAGGGGGGAAAATATCTGTGCAAACCCTTCACTCTTTCATTTTGTTGGTTTTTGCTTGCAATTTTATTTTATTATTTTGTAAAAAAAACACATTTTTTCTTTTTTCCTCTCTTTTAATAGAAAATGTCGAAGGCAATTTTCTTATATATATATGTATATATAATATATACATACGCAAAATTGCTAATTCAAAAAAGGTTGCTTCAGTAGTCGGGGAAATAGCACCTTTTCAAAAAAGGGAAGGGAGAGAGAGAGAGAGAAAAAAAAGAGAGAGAAATGTATTGTGTAGGGAAAGAAAAGAGAGAGCAAGAAAAAAAGAAAGAGAAAGAAAGAGACAGGGAACAAAAGAGAGAGAGAGAGAGGGAAAGAAAGAAAGAAAAAAAGGGAGAGGGGGGAGGAAAGAGAGAGAATGAGAGTGTGATGGCTGAGATTTAAAAACTGGAGTTGCCATTGCAAATTCCAACCACTTCTTGAGGCTTTTTTTTTTCATTTTTGTTTTTGAAACCAATGGAAACAAACAAATGAAAGATTGAAAGTTCGGTCACAGAATCGCTTCGCCTGCCTGTATTCCTTTCTTTCCGAGTTTTCGTACGGAGGAGAAACGGTTTTCTCCGTCCCGTCACACCCCGTGAAATCCACCCCCCCCAAACACTTCCCAGAAGGGGGGGAAAAAAGGTTTTGTCCACTCCAAAAAATCATCAGAAAGAACAGAGGTAGGCTAGGAGCAAGTCAAGCTTCCCAAAAGTCCAAAAAACAAACGAAAAAAGAAGAAGAAAAAAAAAGAAGAGAAAACCCCAAAATGGAAGGAAAAGAATTTAAATTTGCGAGTTATTGCACGACGGCTGGGTCTCTCTCGCCACAGTTTTTCCACTTAAATTAACTCTCCGAGGGGTGGGGTGGGCTGTTTACCCCCCCTTTCCTTTCCTTGAAAATTAAAGCGCTGATCGGCCTGGTGAAGCTCCTCTCGGCGTCCTCGGCTAGAACTTAGCATGCAGGAGGGTCTCCATGATGGCGAAATAGTTGGGCCCGGGGCCGCCGTCTTCACAGCTCTTTGGGGTGCCCACCCGCGGGCGCTTGGCTGCTTTCGAGTCGTCTCCTGAGATCGTCTCTTCCTGAGGCGCTCCGCTGCTCAGGGACTGCCAGAGGGCGGGAACGGGAGAGGCATGAGGGAGAAAGCGGAGACCACAAGGAGATCTTATTGGCGTGAGGGAAGACACAAGGACGCAAAAACCGGCCTTTCCAAGCCCCTGGGGGAGGGGGGGGGTTGGCTCTCTGTTTATATACCCACCAAAGTAGGGGTGTCAAACTCGAGTTCATTGAGGGCCGCATCGGGGTTGTGTTTGATCTCAGCGCGCTCGACGTCACTTGTGTCGGGGGCGCCTATGGTGGCCCAAATGCTCTGCCAGCAAAAATGGGCTCCCAAGCTCCATTTTCGGCTGCGACAGCCTCCTGCAGCCCTCTGCCAGTGGAAACAGAGCTCGGGAGGGCTGCCCCCCCCGCCCCAAGCTCCATGTTCACTGGCAGAGGCACAATGGGCCTTCGCTGTTCCCAGGGCGGCTGCGCAAGACAAGTCTAAGCACCCTGCGGGCTGGATTCGGCCCCTGGGCCTTGAGTTTGACACCCCTGAACCAGCCTAATTAAGGAAACTACCAAGGGGGAACCCACCCTCCAATCCCGACAGGCATACACCTAGTCCTTGACTTATAACAGTTCATTTACCACTGCTGAAAGGTACCAAATCATTGGAAAAAGTGACTCCTGAACATTTTTCACACCTTACCTATTGGACAGCCATGGGGTCCCCCGATCAAAATTCAGACTGTTGGTAACGACGGCTGCAGGGTCCTAGGATCATGTGATTCCCCTTTTTGCGACCTTTTGACCAGCCAAGTCAATGGGGAAGCCAGATTCACTTAACAACCATTTTACTAACTTAACAACTGCTGTGATTCATTTAGCAACGGTGGCAAAAAAGGTTCTCAAATGAGATAAAACTGGCTTAACAACTGTCTCACTGAGCAATATAAATTTTGAGCTCAATTGTGGTTGCAAGTCAAGGACTACTTGTATGTAATCGGAGGCAACCCCACTCCCTTCCAACACTGATGATGTTACCTAGTTGGTTCATGAAATGTCTGCAGGAAAACGACTAAGTTCAGAGAACGCCCAGGATCCCACCACACTTTTGACCTCGATTTCACCAAAATCTTCCCCAACCCCTGCTCCCAGCTGCATCTCCCCACGGATGAGTCCCAGATACTTACCAGGCGAGATTTGACTCTCTTGGGAAGTTCTTCGTCAAGGGTGTAGATCTCTCCTCGTTTGACCATCAGCTGAGAGCCATCTTCAAACTCTACCTGCGGAAGGAAATGGAGCACGGGTCAAACACTTGGCCTCAGGTTTAGGTCCCTAGCTTCCATCTAAGGTCCCTGACTTTCTTCCATTAGAATAGAATAGAATAGAATAAAATAGAATAGAACATTAGAATAGAACAGAATTAGAACAGAAGAGAAAATTAAAATAGAGTAGAATAAAATAGAACATTAGAATAGAATTAGAATAGAATAGAATTAGAATAGAATAGTATTAGAATAGAATGGAAATAGAATAGAATTAGAATAGAATAGATTAGAATAGAATAGAGTAGAGTAGAACAGAAGAGAATTAGAAGAGAATAGAAGAAAATTAGAATAGAGTAAAATAGAATTCTTTATTGCTCAAGTGTGATTGGACACACAAGGAGTTTGTCTTTGGTGCAGATGATCTCAGTGGACATAAAAAGACAAGATACATTCGTCAAGACTCATAAGGTACAACACTGAATGATAGTCATAGGGTACAAATAAGCAATCAGGAAACAAGATCAGCATAAATCATAAGGATACAAGCAACAAAGTTACAGTTATACAGTCATAAGGTGGGGACGGACTCGTGATATGTTATGTAGGTATGAAAGCCGGCTGGGTGACTTCAGTCCAATCACCAGGAGAC